AAAGTAATGGGAAAAGTGTTTATATCCTATTTCAAGTATCATTTGTAGCAGTTTTCCGTGGTTCAGTCGTATTTTCAATCTTTAAATCAAAAAAAGTTCTGAAAAAGATAGAAATTAGCTCACATGTGTTATAGGTTTTATTATGTAAGCTATTATTTTATTGTATAAGTTGTTTGTTGAAATCTTCAAAAAAAAAATTGTTTGAATTTTACTTTTTCTATGCATATTTCATATACACGAAATTAATTATACTGGCATTCTGTGTTACAGCGGCTAACTATGGACCACCATTATATGGCCATATTCGATGTCGAATTGTTGCTCAACCAAATTCGGTAGCAATGCCTCTATCGGATGGTATTTTAACAGTCAAACCTATAGGTTATGATTGCTTGTATCAAAATGTGCATTGCAGATTACAGGTTTGTATCAAATTTAACAGGATGAATTGTGATAATGAAAAGACAGAGAATTATCACAAAGTTTTTCTAAAAATGAAATAGTTTTTCTTCAGGCCGGTGTTTTACGATGTGCAACAAGCAGTTCATTACATTCACAGGATCAAGCCCTTCTTCACATTTATATTAACAAGGTAGGTGAGTAATATGTATTATTTATGAGAAATTGTAGCAATCAATAAATAGATGATATATGTTAGAAAAGGTCGAAGTTTAACACATATAAACTTCATTACTAACATAGGAAGTTAAACTCTCTTACTGTACTCGATTGATTGATTTCACTTTTGAAACTCTTCAATACGATCAATTTCCCTGCGATATAGATCTAAATTCTCCTTGTTGTTGAATAACTCTCTGGCTATCCTGTAGAGAACCATACACCATCTCCGACCATTCTGTGCTCTCTCTCATTTATACCTCGATTATCCCTCGTTTTGTTTAATTATTTACCAAATAGATAAACCTAGGTTAATAATATTGTCATCATATGAGCAACGGAATATTAGCAATCGATATTGTGCACTATGTACAAAGGAGATTTGGTTTTTGGCTATTAACAACGAGTTGTGATGAGTGGATCACATCAAGGTATATCACGTAGTGGTAGAGTCATTATTAGGAATTACTTATTTAAAGAAAAAAGAAGTATGTGTTGGTCAATCAAAAAAGTATGTGTTGATAATCATGTCCATTGTTATTAGTGAATCACATTAATACATTGCAATTTATTTTCCCACGTTATTATTAAAGGGAAAAGTATAACTTTACTGCAACCAAGATGTACTTGACAAATTTTTATGAAATCCAATCTATCCTTACAGTATCCCTTATTTTTCTATTCTTCGCCACTTCACGTTTGAGACGTAAAATGACCTCTCTTGGCCATGCTATTTCTATTCATTCAATGTTTGCTTTACATTTGTCAACAGAAGTAAAATTTAAAAATAGTCAACTTCTTGGAAATTAAAACAAACTTTCAGTTTAATACTTTATAATGAATTACAGGATTCAAAAGTGTTGGCATGTAAACATCAACGCAGTATCATTGTTACCTCAGACCGTTACTTGGGTGGCACAAAACGCGACAGGCAATTTATCTTAACATCGGATAGTGAAGAAGATATTGCCGCATGGAGGCATGCTATTAATTTGCAAATTGCTGATTGCGGTTTGTCTATTTTACTTTCTTTTAAATAATAAAATTGTTCAAAAAATCTCAAATTCTTAAGAATTCCACCAAAATTCTCTGCAACCATTTTTTATTACTTACTTGAAATCATTATCATTTTCGAGGTCATCGTCGATTTAAGAATGCTGCCAGTTTTTTTTTCCTCACACTTGTTACAAAATTTACATAACTTTTTTTCTGGCGATAAAGTTTTTCCTTCTGTTATATTTCAAATAAATGCGAGGAAAAATTGTCACAGTGCTTTCCGAATTAAAATCAGCATGTGAAATACAGAATGAACTGCAGATAATTAACTGCTGACTATTTTACAGAACAATGGGGTGAATTTGCCGTTTCATCGATAAGACTAACTGTCGAACCGGATCATCCGGATGTATTAATTTTGTCACGGACGAATGGCCGTCGATTATATGATGAAATTCAAATTCAGGTCAACGGTAAACAACTGACCCTGTTCCCGATTGTTTTTTTTTCTTTACAGTCCAGACTTATTGAAATTTGATTAATACTGCTGAGAATTTCATCTTTCCGTCATTTTCATTGCCTATAGATTACTGCACATCAGCCTCTCCATTTCATCTATGTTAAATCAATAGTCATTGTTAATCTTGTGTGAAACTATTCAAAATTTACTATATGCTTTAGTAGGCTTTGGAGATTTATATTATATCCATACTCTTTATAAACTTGGCTACTAGTGTTGTCTCTCCGGTAGTTTCATATCTACACCCTTTACGAACTTGATTGCTACTGTTGTCTATCCGGTATATAGCCTTTACGAACTGTATCAGTACAATCTGGTAGTTTAGTACGCTTTCATATTATTAGCTGCTATGTTTGATACATCAGATATAAGGCGAGAAAAAAAAATGGCCAAGCAGTAGCTTTAATCCATTGCGCTTGGCCATTTTGTCTGTTGTTGTCAATTAATTATCAGCTAAGTAATATTAACGAGTGTGGAAAGTATGCATGACTATTTCTATTATTATCAAAAATAAGCTAATTTGTAGGTGCTATGCAAGGAATTTTGAAAACTGATACATGTAATTCAAACCGGAATCTTACGATGGATTCCTCCAAGATTGTTTCATTTGCTGCAACAACGAAACCTGTTCAGACCGCTCCATCAGGACGCAGGCGGAATAGTCGTTCTCATGTGCGCAATCTCTTTCAGGTATGTATTTTTACCTTTCACTTTTCCGCTGTCATTCTTTATTTAGTCTATAAAAAGTATATGTTTTAATTGATATTACAGCCAGTAAATGACAGCGAGTATCGTTATGTGATCAATCTGCCGGTTAGAGACGTACGGGCACTTCAGAAAATCAATGGATCTTCATCAAAATTGACTACCAATGGCTGTAAGTATTAATTTGATTAGTTTATTTGACTAACTAATTAATTTAATTTTTTAGAATAATAAATTGAATTGTTCACGAAAATATTAAATTTCCTTTTTTTTTACGACAAAAAGAATGACTTATGATCAGTTTAGGATATCATAGATGGAAAGTGAATTAGTTAAACAAACTAATTACCTACACGAGAGCACTGTCCTGTTTTTTCTTTTTTTTTTTTTGTTATTATCAAAGTGGCGATGACGGCAAGAGGTCCTACTGTTATTATAAAAACGTAATATGGAAGGAGGAAGTAATAAATTAAAATAAAATTCAAGTGCGAACGAAAGTAAGATAAAATAATATGAAGTAAAAGATAGGGGAAAAATTTTAGAAACATAAATAACGTTCCAATTATAAATGTATGGTACATGTCGAACCTACGATTTATGTTAACCATTTGAAGAAACGTTTTAAAAATAAAAGCAGAAATCAATATTTACCAGTACTGCTCCCTTGACTGTCTTTCAAGAATTTTGAAATTATCTGAATTGATTACCATTGCATTTTCACTTATCTAACTGTCCTTGTTGTATAGCATGATGATAACTAAGTTTATTTTGTTTTTGGTTGCCAATTTTGTTTTTCTTGTTTTACATTTGTACATTTTGTTTTACATGAAAACACATTTAAACCATTTTTTCCTTTGTTTTTTGCTTCTAAATTAGTATTGAAGATTTCTTATCTCTTTCCAATGTTTATTTTGTAAATTAGTAGTAAAATTACTTATGATCTCCAACTTCAATTTGATGTTAAATTAAGAAGAGCGCAGTAGTTCTAACTGAAACCAGAATTGAAAATTAAATTTGGTTGGATTAAGCTGAGTTCATTTAGATTATATATGGAACTTTGTCCCTGCATTATACTGAGCTAATATATCAATATGATTTATACCAGACTGGATATAATGGGACCAAACCAAGTTGAATCAAAATAATATATAAATACGCAAAATACAACTATGCCAGACGAAGTTGTAATACTTAATGAGACAGCAATTAAGCAATACATTCTGTTTGATATATATTGCACAATTATCGCCGTTCGATCATAATTTATGATTTTCTTCAGATATAAATGACCTGTCATCGTGTGCGCAAATGAATGGAGGGCAGTATATTGACCCAGATGAAGAAGAGGTATGCATTTAATAACATACCTTCATTTTGGATGAAATTTTTACTAAGAGTAAAAGATGCGTTGCAAAGCCAGAATTATTCAGATTGAAGAGCTATAAGGACCATTCAGGTTGTGAATTTTACTTAAAATTATGAGGAATGTTACTGCATCGCCAAAGTTTAAAGATTTTCCAAATCTTAGTAATTTTCAAGTATTTCATAAGACGTCTTAATGTCTTTGAATCAATTTCCTAGTTTCATCGTTTGCAGAGTGCTGCTCGAGCCAATGTGTGCCATGCGGTTTCGGAAAATTGGTCGGAAAATCTCTTCAAAAGTTTCAAAAGAAGCTTCCAAAGATCATTTGGTGTCTTAAAAAAATCGTAAATCTCTTGAAGTGTCTCGTTTCTAAACTTCATAATGCATATCTTAATCACTTATATTGGTTTCGTGGCAATATTTTACTTTTCCTTTTTTCTTTTCGAAATATTCCTTTTGATCGAGCTAATTGATGT